GAAAGTTGTGTTATTTAAAATTATCTTGTGGAGATGGTTACTTTTTTAAAAATTTAGTACAGTTGGTGTGTATATTTAAATTTAAATGTAATATATACTTTGGGGTATGGATACTTGTGGTAGATAGAATATGTTATCACTTTTATTTGGCTACAACCATAAAAGATAAATCCTTTACCCACATCGAGAAAGAGGTAAGTGAAAACTTTCCTAAATTCTCTCCAACAGTTGGTTGGGGGAATTATTTACAATATATGTTCTATGGGTCCCATCTACAATCAGACCAGTCCTTTAGCAATAAGTCATATGAAAGATGAAAAATTTTATTCTCTGTCCTCTTTCCTAGAGGAGTACCCATGGCTTCGTATACATAAATATAATGAAAACTGAGTGAGGAGATTCTGGACTGAGAGCATAATCTGGTATTTTATCCATATCTTGAACTAATTTTTTAAAAATGAAAACAAAATATCTTGCTGAAATCATGATTTTCTCATTACTTGACCCACCCATTGCCCCCAAAATGAATCTGAATTATTAACCCACTTCAGAGTTAAAAATGAGAAAATCAACTTGGAAGTCCTTCTTCCTAATGTTCTAGGCTAATAGTAAGAAACTAGTTTATGGTAAAACAAAAACTAAAAAACAAACAAAAAAAAAAAACTAAAAGAATTCACCTCATTTACTGAGCAGAGAGAATCTACATGTCCTGATTCCCCCATGAACAACACAAGGACACATAAATTCAACCATCATATTTAGGGTGACAATTAGGAATCTCTCAATTCCATGAGAGAAACTAGTGTGAAGAAAGTAAAAAAGAGAATGAGAGAGGGAGTGGGAGAGGGAGAGAGAGAATACCATTTGTGTTCTTTCACATACATCAACGTTTGGTGTTCCAAAGGAAATTGTTCTAATTTCACCATCAATTCTCTCTCAATACTAAAAGAGAAAAAAACATTTGAATCAGTAAGTGCACAGGTATATGGTCTGTGAAATCCTTCTCTAAATAGAAGACAGATGAGTTAAACTTACCTAGTTTATTTTCTGGAGAAATATATCCATTTCCACTTTCAAGGAATCGAAGCCTAGATCTGGCTAACAAATCTGAGTGACAGACAGTTCCTCTGTGGTGCTGGAGATGTTAGAATAAATGTAGAACACAGCAACTTATATTGTAATTGCTACCCCTGAGGAATGGGCCCCTTAAGTTCCAAATCAATTACTAATCTTTAGAGCTATAAAAATAAATTAAAATTCAACTAATACTTCATGTAGTATAAGACACATAATTAATCCCTATGGTATAGTATACAGAACATTTGTTAATGTCCTATTTTATGAAACAGTTGTTTAAAATCAAACATGTATCCTTGCAGATTTCATAGTGTTGTATGACATTCCATCCTAGTGTCATATGTGTGGGTCACAGATCACATTGCCATAATGAAATCACAGGAATGTTTCTCATTAATTCCCATTTTTATACTATTACAAAATTTCCTAAATTCAGCAAAGTACAATGACTGAAGCCACACCAGAATTCCTTTAAAATGCTAGGTAGAAGATAACCTACTGGTCAGAAAACTAAGTTTGCACTTCTTGGGCACTTGTTATATGTTAGAACCTATTCTAAATACAATATTACACAATATTGACTCATTTCAGTCGAGAGAGTAATCTTGTTTCTAGGTCTCTATTCCAAAGGAGATGATGGAGGCACAAGCACTGACTTGTAACTTGAATAAATTCTAAATACATCGCAGAAAAGGGTCTCATGCAACTCTGGTTTTTCCCCTTTGTGACAAGCCAAGACTGAGGCTGCATTTCCCTAATGCATGTCCAATGCTGGGGCCATGAACTGGGACCCTTTCAGTGATCTGTTGTGCGTGTGCGCTTCTTCTCACTGTCTACTGTCGAAGTTGGCCACTACTGGTCTGTATGTATACTGAGTGTACACGTAAACTTCTCAAAGAATGTATATAGTTACAAGGTAATTTTAAGTAAATCAATTTTATATTCTAAAATATCATACAATATTCTCCTAAACTTGACGTGTCAGAGACAACGTCCTAGGCTGAGGAAAAATTCTGGTTCTCCATTCTCACATAATCTTTCACAATTAAAAAAAAAAAAAACACCTCTCACCTGCCCATATTTCATGTGTTACCCCCATGGGCATATATGTGTGGGTCAATATAGAAATAACTTGGGATGCTGTTGGTTTGAAGGATTTCTTCAAGTTTTCTGGGTTTTCTGCAATTGAGGCACCTTAAACCCATTCTTCTTCGGTGAAATGTCTTATGCAAATGTTTTGCCTGTTTGACTTTCTATGCTCTAGTTGCAAGTGTTCTTCACATATTATAAACCTCCCGTCAGATATGTAACTTGTGCCTTTGGTTCTCATTGTGTCTATGATCCATTTTTAGTTAGTGTTTGTAAATGAAATGAAGTATAGATTTCCGTTCATCTTTTTACATAGGAATAGCCAATTACTCTTCATCATTTGTTGAAAGTAATAGCTCTGGTAGCTTTGTCCAAAAATACTTGAACATTCACCTGTTTAATTTTTAATGATCTGTGGTTTGATGTTGCCATATACATGTACCTTACACGAAGAAAAACACCATGTTTTGTAATTTGGGTATTAACTACTGTTGTTTTATTAAACAGCCTGCATTGCACAGAATAGTACAGTAGGTCCTCGGCTTACGTCAGAGATCGGTTCCTATCCCCGCTATGTAACGCGATTTTCCGCCATAAGTCAGAACCCACCTACGTAAGCATCTACACCACTCACTTGGAGCACATAACAGCAGTAATGAAGTGAAACAGTAAAAAATAAAAAAAATTAAATGAAGATAACAATTCCTGACCTTTACTTTTGGTAAATAAATAATAGAAAACATAAAGCACATATTTTCATATCCCAAAAAGATGGAACTTTTTTAAAATAAATAAATGGGAGATGGCAACATAAACACAAAACAGCCTCAGGTCAATGGTGTTGAGGTTGAACAGACCCAGAGACCTGCTCATTATAATTTGACCTTGAACACCATGGACTTCAACAGTGCAGGTTCACTAATCCCCCACATACACACACAAATGAAGGTCTCTGGCTGCAGACAGCCAACTATATGCATTGATCTGTGCCATTTTATGCAGAAAACATGAGCATCTCTAGATTGTGGTATCCACAGGGGACCTTGAACCAACAGATACTGAGGATAATTAAATTTGGGGGGGAGCCAAAGTGATATGCAAATTTTTCATTGCATGGATATAAGCACCCTTAATCCCACGTTGTTCAAAGGGCAACTGTATATTGGTTTTCTATCCAATTTTCTCTTTTACTTTCCTTTCCTCTGTGTATGTGTATGTATGTGTGATTTCTTTCTGCTTTATCTGAGCTTCTTGAATCTGGGTTTGGTGTCTTTAGTTAATTTCAGAAAACCTTTAGCTATTATCTCTACAGATATTTCCTCTGCTGGGACCTTCTCTTTTATTTCTGAGTTTTTAATTATAGTTATTCTTACTATTTGATATTGTTACCAAGTTCTTAAGTGTTTATTTTTATTCCTTGTTTTATATCTGGGTAACTTTAGATTATTCATTTTATCTTTAATTTTACTAATTCTTTCTTCATATATGTTGAAGTTACTGTTATACTCCTTAAAATATCCTTTTTTAATTAAATATTTATTGTAGAAAGTAATACATGTCCCCCCTCCTCCTGATTGAGCATTAATAGACAAGTGAATTAAAATAGTATCACATTTATATAATAAAATATTACTTGGGCATAGAATAAAAGAATAAAATATTTCTGTTTTCTACAACATAAATAGATGTAGATGGTATTGTGCTTAATGAAATTAGTCAGTCAGAGAAAAACAAACACCATATGACTTCACTTAGTATAATATAGAAATTGATATAAACATAATGAAGGTACAAATAAATTATCAATGGTATATATAAATCTGGATTGAATGAAGAAATGTGTTTTAGACACATATAGGAAGGTTAAACAAAGATCATTTCATCACAAGTAAAAATACAACAAAGAACTTAAAAAGAGGCTACAAGTTCACATATAAGTGACAGTAAACATTTGATCCAGAAAATGTAAAATAAGCATGATGATAAGAAGTAGAAGATAGCCCTTGCATGGTTTTGCTCAGTGGAAAAAGCACTGCCCTATGAACTGAAGAGCCCTGAGTTCGATTCCAGTCAAGGGCACATGCCCGGATGGCTGGCTCAGTTCCTAGTTGGAGGTATGCATGAGGGAGCTGATCAATGATTCTCTCACATCACTGATGTTTCTATATCTTGCTCCCTCTCCCTTTCTCTCTGAAGTCAAGAAAATATATATTTTTTTAAAATATAAACTGATGAAAAGGCCAAAGACAGAAATGCTGCCTTCATGACCATGGTTATTAAATGCATGCATACATTTTCTAAACCTATAAATACATGCAAACAGAGACAGGTAGACAGAGCAACAGAAACAAAAACAGAGGATTAATTAAATGCATAAATCATCCTAAGCTTTTTACACATGACCTGTCACCTAACTTTCCTAAGATTTCTCTGACATAATTATTACTAGTTCTCCATTTTTAAAATATTAGTCCCCGAAGTTTCAAAAACATTAGAAACTGCAATTAAAACAACAAATATATAATAAAGGAAGCAAGCAGTGAACAATAACAAAGAGAATACATACATATGGAAATCTCACTCTGTGCATAAACTGGCAAAGATGTACTCCTCATTGTCAAATTAGAATAATTCAATTTTGAAATGAATAGTACTTTCAATAATGGATCAGAAGGTGTGATTTTACCACAAAATATCTTTAGGCGTTTTCACAGTCCAATACCTTTTAAAATATTTTATATTGAATAAAAGCAAATGTATAGGGTGCAAATTTTGAAATATGCTCAACCCTGCACTGGTTAAGTGCAGAGACACAAATGTGAATGAAGGTCCTGCTAAGAAAATATTCTCCAGGAAACTATTTTGGAACTCACAACTTTTTTGAGAGCTTCTTTCACATCCTTGTTCCTTAGACTATATATCAGGGGGTTCAGCATGGGAATCACTACTGTGTAGAACACTGTGGCCACCTCGACATTACCTGTGCTATTGCCAGTACTGGGGCGGAAATAAGTGAAAAGGATTGTACTGTGGAAAACAACAATGGCTGTGAGGTGGGAGGCACAGGTGGAAAAGGCTTTGCGTCTTCCCTCTGCAGAACGCATCCTGAGGATGGTGATGAGAATAAACAAATAGGAGGTGAGGATGATCACAATGGTGGTGACCTCATTCAGTGAGGCCACAATGTATAGCAGCAGTTCATTCATTGAGACATCAGAGCAAGCAAGAGATAAGAGAGGGGGAAGATCACAAAAGAAATGGTTCATCACATTTGATCTGTAGGATGTGATCTCAAGAGCTAAACACAAGTGAATCAGAGAACTCATAGTCCCACCAAGGTAGCAGCAAGACACCAGCTTCACACAGAGATCCCGGGACATGGTGACCATGTAGAGCAGTGGGTTACAGATGGCCACAAAGCGGTCATAGGCCATCACAGCCAGCAGGAACACTTCACTGATTGCATAAACACAAAATAAGTAAAACTGCAACATGCATCCCAGGAAGGAGATGGCTTTGTCTTCGTTTACAATATTAGCTAGCATCTTTGGCACAATGATTGTGGAATAGCAATAATCTATAAAGGACAGATGGCTGAGGAAAAAGTACATGGGAGTGTGAAGCCGAGAGCTGACCTGGATCAGAGCAATCATCCCCACATTTCCCAAAACTGTCACTCCATATATGAGAAGGAACACTATGAAAAGAAAGACTCTCAGCTCAGGAACATCTGTTAATCCAAGAAGAATGAACTCTGTCAAAATAGTGCAATTCTCCTCCCCCATTTCCACCATATGTCTAGACGAAAAACCAAATGATAAGTTTTGCATTGCTTCTAGAAAGAGAAGAAAGGAGACAAAAAGCAGGCATATAATTTTAGAAAATATAACAGTAATGTCTATGGAGCAGTGTATTTCTGAGATATAACAGAAACAATATTGCACATAATAAAAAATATTTTCTGGGTGGTCCCACTGATCAAAATTGACTTAAATATTACCAGAACCATTGAATGATTCCAACCTTTCTTGATTACAGTAGAGTAAGATGATGGATAAAAATTCAGTAGTTCCATGGATTTCAAAACAGATTCAATGTTCACTTCAAAGACACGAAGAAATTATCTCCTGTTATCTGACAAAATGTAAATTCTGTCAACCAAGTAATACTTAGTGTGGCTCTATAAAATATATACTTTTCTTTAATTAAATATATCATGAATATAAATTTTAAGCAAAGTTCTTCACAATTCTATTTTTTAGGTTTGTGGCTCATAAAAAGCCTTTAAATTTTGAATTATGAAAAAAGAAAATTAAAATATACACTGAAAATTATCATTTTAGCAAAGTGGTTTAATCAGTTATAATACCAATGACCAATGCTATTAAAGACTCAAGAAGATGGAACTTGTCTTAAATTTTTCTGGACTATAATTAGGCTGCATATATTAGAAGACTTAACCCTAATAACAATAAAAACTATCTTATACTGTAATGGGAGATTTTAATAAGATATATTAATCTCATTGACAAAATTGTGAAAACCTACATCCAAAGCTACATTGCAGCATTGTTTATAATATTAACAATCAGAAAATGTAATTGTGAAAAAGAGCTATTGTTAAACTATGGAGCATCATATCTAGGGTAGAAGGCTATTGTGCTATTTGAAATTATGTTTTGGAGATGGTTCATTTTTAAAAGATGGATACTAAAAAATATGGTGTATACAAGTAAACAGAAATGAAGATATACCTGTCAAGCTATGAATACATGTGATAAATATTTTAAATGTTATCACAGTAATTAGACTATAATCGAAAGGTTAATTCTTTATACACATTTTTAAAAAGGGTTAAGTGAAGAATTTTCCCAGATTCTCTGAAGTACTTGGTTGTGAAAGTGGTTACATTTGTGTATTCTATATAAATTAGATCTACCTTTCAGACCTATTCTTAAAGGAAAGGCATAAGAAATTAAATAATCTTATTCTTATACCCATGATGTGATACACATAACTGTAATGAAAACTGAGTGAAGATATTCTGGACAGAAAACATAACCTGGTATTTTACCTATATCTTGAGTTAATTTTAAAATGAAAGCATATCACCTTCCAAAAGTCATGGTTTTCTCATTACTTGACAAAACAAACAAAAAACCACCAGAATTATTTGCCCACTTAATGGTTAAATCAAGAAAATTAACTTGGAAAAAGATCTTCCTATGTTCTAGTAGGCTGATAATAAGAAACTATTTTATGGTAAACTGAAATAAATCTTAAAGACCTCATTTAATGAACAGCCATAATCCTCATGTCCTGACAATCTGTCCATGACCAACTCTCAGGCACATCAATTCAACCTTCAGAATATAGGGTAAGAAAAGGATGGTGGTTACCAGAGGGAAGGAGACGGAGGGCAGTAAAGGGCGAAGAGGGTCAAATATATGGTGACAGAAGATCTGACATTGGGTGGTGAGCACATGATGCAATATACAGATAGTGTATCACAGAAACGTACACTTGAAACCTATGTAATGCTATTAACCAAGGTCATCCAAATAAAGGTAATTAAAAATAATTAGAGCTGAAACCAGTTTGGCTCAGTGGATAGAGCCTCGGCCTGCGGAATGAAAGGTCCCAGATTCAATTCTGGTCAAGGGCATGTACCTTGGTTGTGGGCACATCCCCAGTAGGGGGTGTGCAAGAGGCAACTGATCGCTGTTTCTCTCTCATCTATGTTTCTAACTCTCTATTCCTCTCTCTTCCTCTCTGTAAAAAATCAATAAGATAAATTTTTTAAAAAATAACAATAATTAGAAAAGTCACTCTATTAATATAAAAAAAAGAATAAGGGAGTTCCTCCACGGTGATATATTTTAGATTCCATGACAAAAATTGGTGTGAAACAAAGTAGAAAGGGAGGAGAGAGAGAGAGAGAGAGAGAGCGAGAGAGAGAGAGACTAACATTTGTTTACTCTGTATTCTTCATTCACATCAACATTTGGTGTTCCAGAGGAAATTATTCTCATTTCACCATCAACTGTCTCTCAATACTAAAAGACAAAAGCATTTGAAACCGGAAGTATACATGAATATGGTCTGTTAAATCATTCTCTAATTAGCAGACAAAAGAGTTAGATATATCTTTAAAATAATGTTTTCAGGGAAATCATGTCCATCTTCATTTTCAAGTAACCAGAGCCGAGTGGTAGCGAACAAACCTGAGTGCCAGACATTTCCTCCCTGGTGCTGGAGATGTTAGGACAAGTGTGGTACACAGTTAGAGACTTGTACGTAATTTAAGCTCCCAGGGAAGGGTCCCTCAAGTTGCAAATCAATTATTAATTTATATGGTATAACAAAATATGTAAAAATTAAACTAAGACAATGTATGGTGTAACATATAATGATTAATCTCTATGGAATGCCATCAAGAGATTTGTTTTTTAAATTATCCCCATTTGGGAAAAACCTGTTTACAACCAAAGTGCCTCTTTCTAGATATTATGGTGCATTACACTCTTACACACTGGTATCATATAGTTGGGTCACAGCCTATTATTGCCATAACAACACAAATATTTCATATAAATTCTCCCTTTCTTATGACATTATAAAATCTCCTAAATTCCTGTGGGGCACATTGACTAAAACGATAGCAGAATTCTTTAAATACCATAAAAGCAATGAACCTATTGGTCAGAAAACTATATAATAGTTTACATTTATTAAGCACTTATGTGCTAGAAATTTTTCTAATTATTACACAATATTCATTCCTCGTGATGATAATCAATAAAAGGATGTATAAGAGGTTGAAGAATATTAGCTTGCTTTTTGAAATTGTGAAAGCAAAAGAAAGAAAATATATTCATGTTCTCTTTTATGCTTCCTTTCTATCAACTACTGATCAGTATAAATATATTATCAATTCTTCTGGCCGCTTAACTAAGGGTATATCTGTTTTCTTCATTGCCACTATTATTTTTTTTCTTTTTTATACTCAACTGCCTGACAAAATTCAATTAAGGAAGCATCCATTTTGAAGAAGAATGAACACATCAACCACACAAATATATAAAGAGTCAGGCCACCTTGCTCCACTAGGCTCCTTTGTCTTAGAGAAGTTAATTGATTTCAATAACTGACCATGAGAGCTACGTTTTCTTTCTCTTCCTGTGTTTTGCATACCCACTCTATGTTTTAAATTCAATATTAAATGTAAACCCACACACTTTACAAAGTGTTCTCTCCAATATTTCCAGTACCCAACTAGCACCATATAGTTATTGCAATAACTATTATTGACTATATTCTCTATGTTGTCCTTTATATCCCTGTGACTATTTTTAACTACCAATATGTACACTTTCAATCCTCACTGGAGGATATGTTTTTATTCATTTTAGAGACAGAGGAAGGAGAGAGAGAGAGAGAGAGAGAGAGAGAGAGAGAGAGAGAGAGAGAGAGAGAGAGAGAGAGAGAGAGAGAGAGAAACATTGATCAGTTGCCTCCCCATAGATTTCCTGACTGGGACCTTTTGGTTGGATGGGATGGCTCTTCACCCAAATGAGCCACCCAGCCAGGGACATGGATTATTTTTTATAGTCATAACTAGAAGTGGGTGCTTTGGCATCTAGAGCCCATGGATGCTACTTAACATCCTACACAGCAACTGATACACTCCACAAGTAAATTATTATGTTGACTGCTGAAAATCATTTCTCCAAATGTAATGGTTCTTGCATTTCGTATTTACTGTTTTACTTAGTTTCCTTCTATGGTGTGTGTGTGTGTGTGTGTGTGTGTGTGTGTGCCCCACTCATTCTGATTGGTGTTATCTGAGACTCTTGAACCTGTGGTTTGGTGTCTTTTATTAATTTTAGATAACTCTTAGCCATTATCTCTACATATACTTCCTCTGCCCTTACATCATTCTATTTTACTTCTGAGTTTTCAAATAGAGTTATTTAGACTGTTTGATAGTCATACAGCTTAAATACTTTCCTTTGTTTCTGCACTTTTTTTCCTCTACGTGTAATTTTGAATATTTTCTGTTGATCAATCTGCATGTTCACTAATACTTTCCTTGAGTGTGTTAAGGCTACTGCTGTGCCCATATTTATCTCTGGTGGTTTGTTTGTTTGTTTTTTATTTCTAGCAAATTGAGTTTTCATGACTTAGTTGAAATTCCTTATTTATTTATACATGTTGATAACTTTCACTCTAGTACCCATAGAATTATATTAGATAGCATGTCTGATATCTCTAACATCTAAGTCATTTTCCAAATCTGAGTCTGCTAATGTCTTTGATTCCCTGTAACCAGTCATTTTCTCCTGCTCATTTGTGCTATGTCTATAGCTTTTAAATGCATATCATGTGAAGGTTAATAAAGACTCAAGTAAAATTAAATGGCATTTTGCCTGAAAATAATTTCTATATTTTGCTTAGCATCAAGTATAGTTTTGTTAATAATACAATTACCTCTGTGTTCCACAAACTTCAAATTCATCTATTACTACCTTATTTGATGGTGGGAGTTGGTTTGCCAGAGATTCTCAAAATGTAGCCCATCCTAAGGTTTAGGTCTTCTCTTTGCATATGGACCTCTCCCTGGATTCTTTCCCCTCTCCTAGCAATAAATTCTGCTACTGGTAACTCTATTCTTTTGTTAGCTGGTTACCCAGTAAGCTCAACTATCTGATGGGTTCTCCATAAAGTTTTTAAGCTTACAGAATATCTAACTTTTTGCATGATAACATAAGAAGCAAATTTCTTT